TTAGGTTTTGGGTTGTTTAGGGTTTAATTAAGGTCCCCAAGGCTCCAAAGAAGCTTGGGCATTAGGCTTTTAAGCTTTCTGTAACTGTCTGTGAAATAGGGGCTTCATAGGTCAGTGGTTGATCTAGGGCAAGGGCTGTAGGATCTTAGAGTTAACGGCTCAGATGAAGGATCCTTAGCCACAGGATTCGGGAAGCCTCTGCGGAGTGTTTGGAAGGTTTCAGGCATGGTTTAGCGGCTTCGAATCACCTTAGCCCTCTAAATCCTAAACTCTTACTCCGCGTGTGTGTGTGTGTGTGTGCGTACGTGCTGCTCTTTCCGTTTCTCGTACGTGCATGTCTTGCTTTGCCTGCAACATCTTTGCACTCTATACATATCGTAAGGACGAAAAATAAGATTTAATCGGCATACATCTGCACATACAGTAAACAACTACGCAGTGTATGTCTGTGCATGTATGTACACACTGTACATACACAGGTTCACACCCAACTACGCAAAAAACATATCGTATATGTGCTCCATAGCTATAGGAATATATAAATATGAACATATACACATCATGTCGTCTGCACCATGTATACATACCTATATATAAGTATACATGTATATGTACATGTTTTATGTGTGTGCACACGACACGTGGTATTTACACTGTACACTTTCCTACTGGGCAAAATCAACACGTATACACGTGCAAATCGTTGATCTGTTGTCCGTGCCATGTATATATACAGACAAATGTAAACGTTTATGTGTGTGTACACGACACGGCACTATGCTAGGTTTTGAGGAACATGTGAAGACTGACGCACACATTATACATGCTATGTCGAAAGATATCGATTTGCTATTTGTTCACAGTACTTCTTACTGTACATTCAGGTATACTCATACAGACACGACAGTTTGGGAAGTTGTCTTTCAGAACAGTGTCGTTTATGCTGCTGTTGTTTTATGTCCACTCAACAAAGGCTTTTTGCTTGTCATCTTTACGCTTTCGATTTTGGTTTAGGGTTTAGGGTTTAGGGTTTAGGGTTTAGGGTTTAGGGATTAGGGTTAGGGTTTAGGGTTTAGGGTTTAGGGTTTAGGGTTTAGGGTTCAGGGTCATGCAAAAAAGTCGAAAACGGCGCACTCCCAGAGCGACCCGAATCAAATCTAACCCCTGAACCGTGGGCTCCTTAGGCTTGTTCAGCTTCAGTTTGGGGTTAAACCCTAAACCCTAAACCCTAAACCCTAAACCCTAAACCCTAAACCCTAAACCCTAGGTTAAGGTCTGCGGGGCTCCAGGGCTCTCTTCCGTTTTCGCCAGTTTCGGGTTTCGGGCTTAGCGCTTAGAGTTTAGGGCTTCGGGTTTAGGGCTGAGGGTTTAGGGTTCAGGGTTTAGGGTTTAGGGTTTAGGGCTTCGGGTTTAGGGCTGAGGGTGTTAGGGCTTCGGGTTGAGAGTTTAGGGTTTGGGGGCTGAGGGTTAGGGGGTAGATTAGGGTTATAGTGGGGTCCAGGGGGGTTTAGGGTTTCAGGGCTCCTGGGTGCTTCCGGTTGAAGTGTAAGGTTCACGGCTTAAGGGTTTAGGGTTTAGGGTTTAAGGTTTAAGGTTTAGGGTTTAGGGTTTAGGGTTTAGGGTTTAGGGTTTAGGGCACACGCAAGCTAAGTTCAAAGCCGGAAAAAATCCAAAAGCCCCTACTTGAAGGATGGTTTATATCAAGGTTTTTCAATCCCATGAACGTCTGAATTCAAGACCCTCCAAACCTCGCAAAGCACTACGGCCCCTTCTAGAAGCCCTCTGTAGATCCCATGCTCGAACTAGAGGCCATGACGCTGAAAGCCAGAACCCTTTCATATAGACTTGGGCTTAGGGTTTAGGGTTGAGGGGTTTAGG